ATGATGAGTACAATATTTGAAAAACAGTGATAAGTATCAAAGAGTAACATTATTTAGCTTTTGACTTTACTAAGTATTTTAATACAGGGTAACAGGAATATCGCGAAGATAATGTGTAGCACATATGATAACAATTTGAAACTTTTGAAAAATAAGTTGTATCGCGAAGTGATGATGTGCTCTGCATTTAGCAGAAGCTAGAACCTATCAAAATCTATGAAGTTTATACAGGGCCATCTACCAATTTTTGAAAGTTTGCAAGAAATGACCAGTAGGCCGCTACGATCAATAACTACAAAGCAATAGAATAAGTGATTCCATCAAAAAACAATGCTACAGTGGGATTACGGGACAGTCCACAAATCTTCGACAGCTTGAGATATAAGTACCATGGGATTAGACATATATTCTCGAGTGCCTGTAGGACACCAGGTATTGGGTTTCTTCCATAGTAAGTTTACCCTTTTTTGTAAACATCAAGCTTTTTACCTCCGTTTGGTTTTTGATTTATTTGAGTCATGGGAAAATACTAAGAATGCTGTTGCGATCTATACAATGACTGGGAGTGAGCTTAACCTTTCTGGTAAATATTCACAAAGCTTTTTCACCTTTATCTACTTGTGAGCGGCTTAGCTTGATTTCCTCAAAGTTTCTGGTCACAGACAAAGTATAAATCGGGGTTATACAAATGAGTGAGTTACGTTCTTCGTTCCAATCCAAAAGAAAGAGAATGTGAGAATTTGAGTAGCCTCAGTGTGAATGCCTTAAAACTTTGCGGTAAGGAAGTGCGATTGCGGAGATTGTAAAATCTTGATCAAAACCTTTAGACAGAACCTTTTAGGCGTTCTGAAAAAGGTGCGGTAGGTGATTTATGAGATTAAGAGTACTCAAGGTTAGACCCTACTTCTGAATCACTCCACTGGTAAGTTTCTGATTGATCAAACTCTTCTTGAGTCTAAATGACCACTGAGATTCATACCCTGCTCCTTCTACTCTTCCCCTTTTGCTATTGACCTACACTAAAATCGAACTAAGTAAGAATAATTGCATAGTGAGATTAGCAAGAATTTCATAATATTGACTTTTCAGTCACTGGTGCAAAACATTAGAATCTCTCAGAGTCCATTTCTATTTTTTAAAGAAAAAAAACTTTTCAAGCATTTCAAATTGTGAAAGTTTGTTTTACCATTCAGTGGATCGGATGAGAAGCTACGACTGATAGATTTGTAGAATATAGACATTACCAAATTTCAACATCGAGATTTATTAGTGTTCCAAAAGTTGCTGTACGATAGTCACTAGGATCGAGGAAAACAACACATTCGCAAGAGAAAACTGGTAAAATGGCAAGTGATTGGAAATAAGCAAAATCTATATGGTCTAGAATTTTACCGGAAGCGACAAAAACAAGTTGTTCGCAAACATTTCGGCTCTTTCGAGTGGCTAAAGCAGGAACCGCCCAGGCGCTCGGCGTGAGATACCGAAGTGTGAGAGCCGGTGCTGGCCGAGGCTACTCGGACTGGTCACACTTCAACGGCGGTGAAGGTGAGATCGAGTTCTGTGCTGGGAAGATGTTCGCTGGATCAATTGGTCAGCGGAAACTGGACGGTTAGTAGCTGGCGGGGCTTTCAGAAAAAATGAGCTGCCCGTGTGGGAACTGGTTCGCCTAGCCTAAACACACACCCATATCGCTTAGCTACGTGCTATTCGTCGGCACTTTTGCAGCAGAAGTGATGATTTTGCCCTGGTTACGTCTCGCTACTTGCACCGCTTGAGACATTGCTCATTGTCAGCACCAATTTGAACAGGTTCTAGTTACAAGGAGGGGGGGGGGTTGCAGCGCTGAAAAAAATGTCAGATCGGGTTAGTCCCGGGTCAAACGAGAAGAGCAGATAAAATCAGCGCAGCGCCTATTTCAAGAGGGAAAACAACCAACACAAGCCCGACACTCACGCTGAGCGTCGCGACTCTCATGACGCGTCACGACGTCGCCATGCTGAAGCCAACCCGCTCACTCTCACTTGACCGCCACTGACGCGACATACCGGAAAACGACACCATGGCGCCTTCAAAAACTTGCCACCATTAATCATGCCAAGTGCAAAATGACTGATTATATGAGACATACGGGTTGTCAGCATACACATGGATTGCTAGTCTTTAGCAATCGCGACAGTGGAACTGACCGAATCATCAGAAGAAGCAGCCGTTAGTCTATATGAATATCATTTCCTAAATTTCCCTGAAACACTACTCCAATCGATATAATCCGCAAAATATGTCAAAAATTTCATATTCTTATTCAAAAAAATTGATTCTTCGACGTTAGTAATGATTGAGTCAAATCACGCAAATCATTTTCGTTGGCAGACTTCAGTGCGCAAGATAGAAATCTACGAGCATATATCTACCTAAGTGTATGTCAGAGGCGGTCTTTTCGGCAGATATAAGAAGAAGTAAAAATTCTACAATGAAAACCAAATCGTTCAGATTATGACGATAGCGTCAGAGACTTAGGAATGCTAGCGAGCAACTGCATTAGCCACTTTTCTAAAGTAAAATGTGAAATTTGGCAGACATCAATTTCGAATGTATATTTTATGATTCAAATCATCAAGAAATTTTCAGATGTTCCTGCAGTGAACTGTCAAATTTTTCCTCCACATTTTTCGAACCCGCCTCTGATCTCTGCCTCATGACCGTATTTCGCCCCAATGCACTACTAAATCACAAGATCAGCTAAATATGATTATTGTCATCCGCGGCATGCAAAAGGATTTGCATAAAGGATTATTGGTTTTAACAGCACGTCAAAATTCTCTCCAGTTATAACCAAATATACAGTTTAAGATCAAATCATAATTCCGTTGGCTTGTGCTAGTTTCTAGCCCCATACATCTTATCGCTAAATTACCAATTTTGAATTTTGGAGGAGTCATTTGAAGTTTAAGACACGACTCTAATTTTGCAAGCAATGTTAAAACCCAGATCACAGTAAAAATACTATGACAAACATGACTACCGATTTTACGGTAAACGTTAGCAATAACTCTCAGCTTTGAGATAATCAAGTTTGCTCAAGAGCACCCCCTCCTTCATTACGGCAACGGGAAAACTCAAATGATAAAATCAAATGTTTCCAACACATTCCGCTCTTCAGTTCTTCATAGCTATATAATCGTTATGCAGTCAATAACAACCTCTATGAGGAACATACATTTTCGTTATACATATGGCCAAAATGATTTATTCTAGGTGATGGGCTCATTGATGGATCTCCTAAAATTTTGGTAAGAAAAAATCACCAGATTAATAGGAACTAGTGTAAAGATCGGGTTTGCCGGTTCATCGTAATTATTGCGGAATGCTTCCTCTAAAATTTGAGATAAAAATCAGGTGATTAAATCGAACACTGTATAAACACACTTCTTGATAACTCTAAAAGTTTTGCAAGTAAACTTCTTAGTAGAATCAAAGAGAAAGAAAGACATTTATTTATACCCAATCTCAACGAGATGTATGATGAAACCCTAGAAAATTTGTTCATTCTATTAGAACTGACTCCTCAAAGATAGTAAACATAAGAGAAAAGGGGAGGATCTGCAAAAAGAAATAGTTTAAAAATGTAAGGAAAGGTTTGCAGCTTAAATATTCTTTGAAGCCGTTGCAGGTGTTTTACCCTTACTGAAGAGTTCCGAAGAGAGCCTAGAAATCAAGACTAGTTTGTTGAAAGAAGGGTGGAAACGGGAATTTCAATATATTAGGTCGTTCCATAAGTTTGTAGAGTTTTCATTTTAGAAGCCATTTTTTATTGGAGCGGTGCGGCAAAGCATCTGTACTATTCAAAGAATCCAATCCTGCTCTACAAGAATTGTTGTTCGTTTTAAAACACAAATCTCCCTGCTTGACGATTTCTCAAAGCAAATTTTTTGGGAGGCAAAATTTGGCGATTTCGGCATTTGCAACTTTCAGTTCATATACGGAGACCATAAGTGGGAATTTTTCATTTGAAACTGTTATAATTGATGAAAAACAACTGTTTACGGGAATATGGTGGATATAAAAGTGGTCTCCTTATCTATAGAGACACATGGGTAAGGATAAAGCGCGCTTCTACCATGTGTGTAGTTCTGCGTTTGGTACACTCTAAAGAATTCCCTAATCCAAAAATTATTGGAAAAGCTTGAAATTTTAGCCACAGCTTGTACTCATTCATGTACGCCACTTACAATGGAATGGTCAGAAATCGAAGTGGCCGCTTCAAACTTCTTGAAACCTAAATCTGAAAGTGCGACAAAGTGCTCAATTTCGTAATTTTCATGCAAGATATTTTCGCAATGAATGCTTATAACTTCGTCCACAAAGGCGCTAAGTAAATATGAAACACAGTTCCGAAATCAGCATTGAATGCTGCATCGAATAATAGGCAGCTTGCTTGGATTGGCCACTTCGACTTCTGACCATTTCCTTATTAGAAGAGTCCATTCGTTCGTCAAGGCCTGTTAGGGGGACCGACTTTCTTTCGCCAAACACCTCGCAAACCTCGTGCAGTAGCAAAAGACAACAACTATTGAGATCTTGTTTATACAGTTCTTAGCATATTGGTGTGCCGCAAATTTGTCAGTATACCAATCTAGCTTGCTGCTAACCTTTCGCCTACATATGAGGATAACATTTTGCGGGATACGGACTAAATACGGAAAGTGCAGTTGCCGAAATCACCAATTTTTGCCTTTCAAAAATCTTTGCTTTGAGAGATTATAAAACAAGGGAATCTAGGTTTGTTCCGAAAGGAACAACAGTCCTTGTAAGGCAAGATTAGCTCTTCTGAATGGTACAAGTACTTCGCTGTAAACCCAACCGCTTCATCAGAAAATGGTTACTAAAACGTAAACTCTACGAATTCATAAAGGTTTAATAATTAGAATGGAACGTACGTAATGCTATACCGACATGGAGGAGACTAAATGTAAGAACGATAAGTATTCAAGAGAACGCACCTCTTCAAACTGTGAAGAATGTTTGCAGCCTTTTCAGGATGCCAAAGAAGAGAGACATTCAAACCGTAAAACATATGACACAACAACTTGATGGGAATAGCTGAGACATCGATGGCTTCATTGAATATGGGAAAAACGTCATCGATAGCATCTACAAACATTGAAAGAGTTGTTCGCCCTATAGCCCCCTCATGTGTCATCGGTTTGAGGAGTGCTACACTAAATGGATCACGAAATTGCAAAAGGAAACTAGGTGAGTCACAAATTCACGCAAGCGACTTTTGTATCTGATACCAATTCAAAGAATTTTCAAAAGTTATAAAATTTCACTCAGCGCCACATTTCTCCTTCCAAAAGGAAATATCCCCCTTACCTCAAACCTTCTCTGCTGGTGCATAGAATGGGCAATTGAATAATTGTAGACTCGCGGGCACTTCTTCATTTTTTGTTTCAATATTTTTGCGCTGCTTTGAGGCATATTTTTTGATACAATGCTTCAGAAGTTGGCAAAATAACCAGCAAAAAATAAATGTATATTGATAGCGACGGCTGCAAGAGGGTGTGGGCCTTCCCGATGATGTGTCGCGAAAATTTTGCAATAGGTTCTGATGAGTTATAATCAAACAGAAATTCCGTTTACGATCAAGTTATTCAAATGATTCTCGTAACATTTGGGGGGGGGGGGGGGGGGGAGGGGGGCCGCAAGCTTGCGAATAATGTGGGAGTTCTCAAAAACAATTTTGTGGAAGGGTAACCACCGCGAAAAAATTTACTGACCCTCATTGACACACAGGTGCGTTTGGAGGAATAAGGAACTTTGTTCGCAGTAGCAAGGTATAAATCACAATTGAGAAGTTGAAGAAGCTTTCAGAAACCAAGAAGAGCTGTTCTTTCATGAAATTGGAGAAGACAGCAGACAGCAAAATAAATCTTAATTGATGAAAGCGGTTCTACTTGGACTGACATCACAAACCCCAGCCGCGCGATGCAGAACTGCTTGAGTAATGTGCACGAATTTTGCAGTTCCCTTGTCTGCTTGACCGAAACCGGTTTAATTTGCAATTGCTTTAGACGATTGCAATAGACGGGGAATGCTAAAATTTCAGCTAACAACGCTTTTCCTAATGATTCTAATTTTGCAAGTGTTTTTTTTATGCTTAGAGATGTATTCGAGGCCATAACAGCCTTGCGGAAATTTCCCACAGTGTCGACATGGAATTGATGGAGCTGATGGGCTCATGATGGCTATACTTTACTATAAAGTACAACCTACCCGACCAATAGATAAATTTGAAATGAAACTCTCATTCTAGCAGAATAGCAAGGTTTTTACAGAGTTGATGGCATAATGCATGGCGATAAAATGTGCACGATGGCGAAAAGGTTTCAAACAATGAGTACAAAGAACGGAACTGAAACTGAGGGCCTAGTCAAGTTTTGGTATGGAATGCCACAGTGGTGAATGGGTTTAGGTTTGGTGTCGAAAATAGTGTTGAACAGCCATTTCAAATGTATTTTATCCGGTGGTACGGTTAAAAACGTGCTGTAAATCAATAGTTTTAGAAAGAAGCACAATATAATGCAAAAAGCTGAAAAGTGAAGGCAAGGACGAAAAGGAAGAAAGAGGAGTTTGGAGAAGTGATAGTTTGGTTCTCCAAGTTCACTTAATTATGTATAGTTTGCTTTATGACGGTTGACAATAGAATTAGCTAGCAGACACACTCTGGAGTCGTAAAAATTACAAATTGCCTTGCGTCTTGGGCCTCGGGCAGAGTTCACGCGATTTCATCGTCGCGATTGATCACGACAAGACAACTCTAACAATATCATTACATGCCGATCTTCTTGCATTTCGTTGTGATAGTTTTCCAACAGGAGTAATCGTGGCTAACTATCACAAACAAAATACAAGAAGATCGGCTTGCAATGAATTCGTAACACTTGTCTTGTCGCGACGAATCGCGACGATGAAGCCTGAAATCCGTCCGAGGCCTTGAATGGACACATTAGATAAGTACCAAGAAATGAAGCACACATGCGTAAATGTACTTTGAAATACCCTTCGTCAAGGAATAAGTGAAAGTAAGTATCTTGGGAAGAGAAAACTGCTTCCTGAATAAAAGATAATTCATATTTCGTACAAGTTATTACAACTAACCATCTTGAAGCAAACAAATGATGATTATAACTTGGGTCAAACTGGATGAAGCAAAAACTTACTGAGGCTAGGAAACACAGCCGTCATGCACCAAAAAAGAGTTTCTATCATTTTTGCAACCGCTCTATTGAACAGCATGGTCGGAAAAACGGTGCGTATTCCGATTTCCACGTGTAAGCGAATTATAATCTGATGCACTGAACGATTATCATTCAAGCATACTTAAATTCACCCGACATTTGATGCTAATTTGTCAAGACAAAAATGATTTTTTCATATTTACTTATTTATGCTCAGAATGGATCCCCTGTGCACCGAAACATTTGATACAGAATTTACCAAGTCTATGCGTACTTTTTCTCACACTCTACTGAATCGAAAACGTTCCATGTCGTCTTATAACCCAATCGTGTATTAAACTGTATACTATCGAAAGTACAATGTATAATTTGAATTTTTGTGACTTCTGGGATGTTTTGCTGTTACTCGAGAAGCATTTTAGGTCGCGTAAAGATGAGGGAAAGAGATCTTGAAGGTGAGTGGAACGGGGAGAATCAGATCTCATCGAAAACAAAAATAAAAAGCGATTTTGGAAGTTCACTTACAAGGAAAGGATACTTGGTCGAAGTGGCCTTCTCATATGAGATGTACACTATTTTATAGAGCATAGAACGCTGATTCCAGCGCATCTGGAAAGGGAGTTTTGGGAATTTCTTGTGGTTAAAATTCAATGATAAGGCTAAGATAAAAATAGGTGTTGAGCTCTTTCCGGCGTTTGAAATGAATAATGACTGATATGAGTTTATTAGACTGAAGGTCTTTATTCGATAAAACGCCCTAGTAGTAACCATGGCCCTGTTGGAACTCACGGACTAAAATTCTGAATAATTTTGTTGTATCGACGCTTTCATATTTTTGCATCAAAAAATTTCCGTAACTACACCCCCAGAAGCGCTTTGCAGATACCGAAAGCAGATTTGGGATCAGCGTTTCATGCTCTATAGAATAGTGCACATCTCATATGGAAAGGCGACTTCCATCAAGTATCCTTCCCTGGTTAGACTCATTGGGCTGTACACACGAAACTGGACGTATGAACTTATCTTCACTAAATTGAATAGAAGCATTCTCCGAATTATTTTAAATCACTTTTTGTAATTTTTGTCATTTACCTTTCACTTCTCAGCGTAGTCAAATAGGTGCTTCATCCTCCGTCATCTTATCATGGAATGTGAGAGAGAGAGAGATTGCGATCTATCATGACAATGAAGGATAACATAAACAGATAATCAAACAGGATTATTTCCGACTATTGCTTAACATATAGCAAAATAATAGTTTCAGTAAAAAATGTGTTTTTTCAACGACAACGGACATTTTGAGCGGAATTTAAACGAATGCTTTACTTGTTGAGTTTTGCTCCGAGCTTACATTTAGTGATAGGCAACTTGCTAATGCGATTGCAAGAAGACAGTTATTACTGTTTACCTTCGAAACAGTTTTTGATATTTTAGGGTATTTGTATATCTCATTTTCAACAAACAAGTGTTCAAATCTCTAACTTAGTTGAAAGCATAAAACAGTGATGCTATGATGCTTGTGGATGGACAATCGAGGATGGATGAGAAAATTATTTACACACACCATCTATCGTTCCTCTTACTACTCGATAAAATGCTCCTAACAATATCTCATATATTTTGCAAAAACGCTGAATATTACCACCTTGCTCCTGGTCTTTAATACATCATTTGTGACTTCTGATATTTTTCTTATCAGGGTGTAGCAATTTAGCAGTGAATTGTGGATTCTTTCTCTGAGGTAGCTAAGAATCCCATGATCAGTTTTGTTATCATCTTATTCACTTTCACATGTGGACAGCGCTAAAAGCATATGTTCAAACGGCTGATATATTTATATGTTTTAAAGTTTAAGCTAACTTATTCTAATTTTCTAAGTGTCTACCTCATCAGTTTGGATTATAATATAATATATAAAACTTTCATTTGTCGGGACTAGGGCTGAATCATGAAACGTGAAAAACCATAGAAAATAGTGACACCATTAAAAGTATTCTTCGCTTAGCAGAGAGAAAGTAGTAGCAAACATTCCAGTGTTTAGTGCTTTTACTTTTTCATCAGGTAGTGAGGAGGAGGGGACATTACGATACACGATGGTGCAAGTAGAATGATTTCAACTTGAATCGAGATAAAAGATAATAATTTGCTGGGGAAAAGCTTCAGCTTTGCCTTTCTGAACGTCATGTTAGTACTAATGTAACTGTGACGCACATTGGTATCGATTCAGTAGCCGTTCAGATGAAGTACATCATGAAGCCACTATGGAACTTTTCGTAACAGTTCCACTTTTTCATTTGAACTGCGAATCAACGATTTATCTGCTTTGATCTAAAGACATCCTCTCACCCCACTTTGTTGTCCCTCCATGATTCTAGGCCCTGGTTTTTCGTTAATCGAGAATCACTTTACGAAGTCTTATCGCAAATTGAATTACAGCTGTCGAGTGCTGTTCTCATCACCTTTTGCTGTTGTGCGATTCTACGTGAGAAGAACTACCGCGTGCATGTAATTCTTCCTTAGGAAATTACACTGTAGAAGTCTGAACTACGTAAATACCTTAGAGTAATTCAGTTTCAAGAGATGCTAAGTTTATCCAGAATGTTTCAAAACGGCCTTTTTCTTCGGTTTGAGGCGGGTTAAATCAGCGAACGAAATCCTCGCACTTTTGGACAATTTACGAACTTACGGCAATTTTTTTCAAACGGGTACAATCATTACGATAGCACTGAACTATTTTTAGAGTGTAATCAAATCGTCATGAGCACTTGAAGGATCCATGTGACTTTTTTTG